TTTGTTTTCGCAACTCGGTCATATTGGTAGGAAGACTTAGAGGAACGCACCTAAGTTGGAGTCCATTGTATGCATTATCATTTCCAGAGTAGGACCATGGACGTGGTACATTCCCATCATCATTTCCAGAGTAGGACAATGGACGTGGTACATTGCCATGTATATGGGTATGTATAAGGGTAATTTTAAAGCGATGCTTGCCTTCTCACTTTTGGTGTCAAACTATCATTCTCTCATCAAAATTTCACTTATTGATAGCTAAAATGACAAGAATTACTTTTTATTAGATGTATTCACCCTATTTTATGATAATACTTTTTAAGAAGCAAGCCTATGTGAAACTCACTGTAAGCGTAAGGTCTACTCATATGATTGTGGGATACCTTAGCTACTAGTTCATCATCGTAACGAAATAGGGTCCATACTTCTTATATATACATGTATATATAGCTTTCTGGTAGTCTTGGTAACCTTCTAATTATCGAAAATTGCCTTGATTTTGTTGATTTTGGTAAATCTCCATAAAAGTATCCGTCTCTGATTAATCAACGTATCTTCTTCCAAGTCTTCCTATGCAGAAGCATCGAATTACACTCAGTGGAGGTTTCATTTATTTATTCATGTAGACTGATCTCTTTTGGCTCAGTTTGCTAAAGTGAGTCTGTAATTTGGCTTGTTCATGCTAGTCAGGCGTCTGTTATAGGTTAGCCGCCCATCATTGGGCCGCCAAACGAAGCAAAGACCAGTGGGCGTCCGAAAAATGGTCATTCATGACTAGTCTCTGATTATCTACTTTTGCGTGCTTGCGATGGAGCATATTATGCCTCATTCTGAAATAAGCTGAGTAGATTTAGTCTATCCTCAAATCTATCTATATCTATTATAATTACTGTTTTTTTTATATTTACTATAAATATTGTTTATCCGAAGAATATATATGTATATATATATACTACAATCCCTTTTGTGCCTCAGCTCACGTTGTTCAATCCTTCTGGTGGCGTGGTAAAAATGTTCGTCATACTTTATGATCTGGCTGATATGCCTGCCAACTGCAAGACATTCCTGCGTCAGCGTACAGTCTACATGCCCATCCTTCTGACTTCAGCAGCCACGACGGATCCTCTTGATCAGACCAGCATGGTAAAACCAGACCCCGAAATCTCAGAAGCTCAGTGTCCAACGTCTGTCAGTGAGGAAACATCTCAGATGTCTCCGAAGTTGTGGTCCTATGCACGGGAGATACATCCATCTAACTGCTCTAACACCGCGCAGATTAACAGTCATGCTCCGACAATCCCTACAACTGACGTGCTTGACAATGGTAGCAACAAGGATGAATCTTCCACTCATCTGGCCATAGCTGAACTCGAAACAAATCAGGGACCTCAAGGAGCCTTAGCTGGTGTATCTCATCCATTAAGTGACCCAGTTGAGGCTATTTGTGTCGACAGTTTAAGCACAAAGAATCTCGCCGCTCCGAGTACTGCTACAAATAGCCTTAATGAGACTTTTCCCTCTGCCAAAGTCACTTCTGCTACTCTGATGCTTCATAATGAATCCAGTAAGGCATGGTCTATGAGGAGAATGTCAGACCTTCCTATAAACAGCCAATATCATTTCCCTTCTGCTTCACCTCTACCACCGCCTTCGACCTCTTCTACCGACACTCTCTCAAATACGACTACCGCCTCTTCGGCGTTGCCATCTTCTCGATTGGTTCCAGCTCATCCGTTGACTAGACAGGCTTCTCTGAGAGTTTGCAAGGCTACTCCTACTCTTATCACTGGGTGTTGGGCTCCAATCGTTGGCACTTCGATGTCAGCTACTGGGGGGCTAGGTCGTTCAGAGTTTCCAGCCTATTTGAGGTACCTGGTGCATTTGCGGTAAGTTGTTAATTTTAAAAAGTTAATGATATTGAAAGCAATCTGAAGCGGCAATTAGGGAGATAAATTACATAGATAAGAGGATAAAGCAATTTTTTGCATTTGTGGAAATGACATAGAAACTCAGCCTCTTTTTATAAATGGCATAGAAGTTAGGTAAACTTGTGAAATCCAGTTGAATTTCATGAACCTAATAACTAATCTAGACGTTCTCAAATTCTTTGACTCTTAATCGGGGCAACAACAGGCTAGTGGTACATTAAAATTCACATGAAGAAGTTAAATGTAATATGAACGATAAAATGTATGAAGACCTGGCGAAAGTTGAATACATTTGCACATTTTTGAAGATAGTTAGTAAAGAAACATTATAAAAGAATTAAGTCGAAATATTAAAGCATTAAGAAAGAATAGATTTAATAGTTAGGTTAAGTCACTAAGCAGGTCACTGAAGATTGAAAAGATTGTTGTAAGAGCAGATGAAGGATAGCAAGGGTACAGCTACGTTGATAAGCTAACTGTTAAACAGAATAGTGGATAGACGATACTGACGTGCCTTTCATTTCGTTTGAGAAGGCAAACTGTAGGGATTCATAGATTGGCCTTACCGGATATCGCAGGAGGGTTGCCTTGGGCTTTTGTATGTTGAA